TTGGACACTATAGCAGGTGGATTTTATGGGGAGTGTCCTTATGCTGACATTGCTGAAAAATTAGAGAAAATATCCCAGAACAATAAATCTTGGAGTACTAGGAAAACAGATACCAGGAGAAATACCTTCGCAGTACAGTCCACTCACAGCCCAGCCACAGATGAGATTTTTGAAGAAATGGCTCAGACAAGAACTGAGCTTGGGTTTGTACTAAAACATGTCACTGGGGGTGTAGAAAAGATAAATGCAGTCAACTACTTGTCGAAACCACCGCCACCTAATGATGAATGCTATTATGCGGATGACACCTATGCAGTAAATTAGCAGACGGGGGGTTTCCGACCGAGCGCCCAAGGCTCAAATCAGGATAATTGGCGCCAAGGTTAAGGGAACCAAGGTCAGATCTATGGAAACTACAACCGCGACAACAACTTCAACAGGGGTAACTACGGTAACAGAAATGATAGGAATGGGCCCTATGTCTCTCCTCAAAATCGTGAAGTTACTCCTAGGGATGGTGGAGATAGTATGGAGCGAGTTGAGGATATGTTGCACAAAATGATGAGGAGGTTCAATGCTAGTGATGAGAACATTAAAGAGTTAAGGTGTGATTTAGCAGGTATAAGGCAAAAAGTCGATACACATACAATATCGATTAAGCAAATCGAGTTGCAAATGGCCCAATTATCTGCGACTATGAACACACGGCAACCGGGCACTCTTCCTTGCAACACTGTCCAAAATCTGAAAAATGATGCACACTGTATGGAAATCACCACTCGTGGTGGCAAGCAAACCATTGACCCACCTATGCCGTCTAATGAGGAAAAAGTGAGAAAGGATGATGATAAGGTGGTAAGGGGTAGTGATGAAGCAGAAGAGAGCACTGAAAAAGATGCAGAAGTCACTATGAAGGTAATTCCCATGCCTAGACCACCACCACCCTTCCCTCAGAGATTAGTGAAAGAGACCGAGGATGGTAAATATCGACGTTTTATAACAATGCTGAAGCAGCTTTCTATCAATGTATCTTTGGTAGAAGCTCTTGAACAAATGTCCGGTTATGCCAAGTTTATGAAAGATCTGGTTACAAAGAAAAGATCGGCCACTTTCGAGGATAATGATAGACTGCAGCATTGTAGTGTTATTTCTACAAGATCTCTCGTACAAAAGAAATAAGATCCGGGTGCGTTCACTATTCCTTGTACAGTTGGGTCATTACATTTTGCGAAAGCACTATGTGATTTAGGGGCAAGCATAAATATCATGCCCCTCTCTATTTACAAGTAGTTGGGTTTGGGTGATCCAAAACCCACTGCGATGCGGCTACTGATGGTTGATCGAACAGTGAAAAGGCCTATAGAGATACTCCATGATGTGCTAGTAAAAGTGGAGTCATTCATATTTTTGGCAGATTTTGTTATTCTTGATTGTGAAGTCGATTTTGAAGTGCCTATTATTCTTGGGAGGACATTCCTTGCTACAGGTAGGGTCATACTTGATATGGAAAGGGGCAGATGAAATTTTGGTTAAACAATGAAGAAGCGACCTTCAACGTTTTTAGGACCATGAGGCAGAGTGGTGAACTCCAATCGGTATTAGCCATATCCCACAAAGAAAAAAGATAAAGAAGGAGAATGAAGAAAAAAGTGCAAAACAAGAGTTTATGGTTGGGGATTTGGTACTTTTAGATAGATTTAGGTTGCCTTGTCTTCCGGGCAAGCTCAAGTCCAAACGGAATGGCCCTTACTTGATCACCCAAGTATTCCCCCATGGAGCAGTTGAGTAAAAAACCAAGGAGGGAGTGCGGTTTAAGGTGAATAGAGAACAAATAAAACTCTATTTTGGGCATACTGCATCAGTAAATGAAGTTAATGAGG